ACAAGAGTGATAAAGCAAGCCTCAGACTGAAAATCTCAATCTGAAGGATCAAACAATTAGATGAATGAAAACATTACTGTGATCCTCCCTGGTGGCACAATGGGTTAAAGCACAGCACTATGAAGCTATAGCAGCCACTGCAGCATGAGTTGGATCCTGGCCAGGGGGGTGACCCACATGGCGCAGCAGACCTCTCCTGTCTCTCCGCTGCTCCCCTCAGCAGTGCATTTCAGTAGATTTGCCTCTTCTGCTCCCCACTCTGTTTCTGTGAATCCTCTCATCACCACCCCACACCTGTGGCCTGTACCCCTATTCTGTATGTATAAATGCATAAATCTTAAAAATAAGAAAACATTAATGCATCTAGACTGAGAAAGCCTAGAAAATATATTCAGAGAAAAACATGAACAATTTGAATTCAATAATACATATAATTTTTGGCACACCGCCACTACCGTTTATACAACTGCATTATCCTTATCCTGAAAATATCCATGTATGTGTGTGTGCAATAAAGAATGAATAATGATAAATAAATATATGTGCTCAGACATGTATGTATACTATTTTGCCTTTATTTTCATCAGACATAATTAAAGTAATTGCTGTCATGCGAGATGGGAAAACCCCATTGTACTGAATCTGCCATTAATTTTTATTTCAGATCACATGTGTGTGTGTAAATGAGATGTGTTAGTGTTTTCTTTACATATATGCATATGTATGGAATATATCAAATACATATGAGCATATATGTTTGTATATATATGTATATATATATATATATACATATATATATATATATGATGTGTGCATATATAAATGATGAAGAGCCAAGACTTTGTTCTCTTTTTAGCAAATATGCTTAACTTCTTTATAAAGATCACAGTACATTAATAGGCAAGAATGCACAGATTCCAGCTAGATCATTGCAACTTATTTGCAATCATTAGCTTCTCCCTGCTGTCTGATTTTCTTTTTTTTCTTTCTTTTTTTAAGGTTTATTTATTTATTTATGCACTCAGAACTGGGGTACAGGCCAGAGGTGCAGGGGCGGTGAGAGGATTCACCAGAGACAAAGTGGGGAGCAGAACAGGCAGATAAATGAAATATATTTCTGAGGGAAGCAGTGGGCGGGTCAGGAGAGGATGTGGGTCACATCCAGGGCTGGGGTTCAAAGTCACACTGAAGTGGCTGCAGCTGGCTTGCAGAGCTGTGCTCTAACCTGTTGCACCATCAGAGAGGGCCACTGTCTGCTTTTGTAAGGGAATGGCCAAGTTTCTTACAATGCTGTCTCTAACACCACAGAGCTTTCCTTTCTAAACATATACTATTTTCCACTCATTTCCATATGAAGTCATTGGGGAGTACAGCTTCCTTCCACATGTGCTTGTTTCACTCAGCCCCCCAAAGCTCCAGTGCTGACACTACCATTTTACACCACATCATTTTTTCTGTCTCTACTTGGTCCCCCCTTCCCTTCTGTACCTATTATAGCCTTCACAGAGTCTAAGAGTTATTTTCCCAGTTTGTTTTCTTTGGGTATTTATATTCCATAAATGAACGAAATCATCCATCTTATCTTCCATTTTCTCCCTTAGTTCACTTAGCATCACCTGGCAAGAGCCATTCATTTTGGCCTAAAAGGACATTCCGTTTGGAACATATTCCATTTTCTACATATCCCACAATTTCTTCATCAGGTCTTTTACTCATGGTATTTAGCTTGTGTCCTGCGTTTTGGTTACTGTGAAGAATGGGAAGGTGAGAGTCTGAATTTTCTTTTTTTGTATTGTTTTCCTATTCTTTTGGTATATAGCCATGAGTGGTCCTGCTGGATCACATGGTATGTCTATTGAGTTATGCCAGGATGACCCGTATCAGTTTCCATGCATGCTACACCTGTTTAATTCCTACCAGCAGTGAGTGTTCCTCTTTCTCCACATTCTCATCCACTTTTGTTAAGTTTACTTTCAGGAATTTTATCACTGTTTATCAAATTGTAAATGGGACCGTTCTCTTAATTTCTCTTTCCTTCAATTCACTGTATACAGACATACAATAGATTTTTCAGTACTGATTTTGTATCCTGCAACTTTATTTTATTTATATATTATTTCTGTTAGTTTTTGGTAGAGACTTTCATGTTCTATATGTTATTATGTCATCTCTAAATAGAAATCATTTCAGCTCATCTTTTCTAATTTGGATTCCTTTCATATCTTTTTCTTGCCTAATTAATTATGCCTTGAACATTATATACTATACTGAATAACAATGATGAGAGTGGACGTCCTTGACTTTTTCCTGATAGTATAGAAAATATTTTCAGTTTTTCACCATTGAGTATGATGTTATATATATTCTATTTGAGTATAATTCTTTATCTCTCTTTGATTCCATTCTGTTAGCTGTGATTCCGTTTCTTGTTTGGATAATGACACGCCTTATATCATCATATCCTGGCAAGATTTAAAGGATTATAATATTTGTACTCACTTAATCAAGGCTTGGGAAAGATATTTACAATCCACCTGACATAGATGAAACAATCAAAAATATTAATTCATGTTACTGTTATTTGTGATGATAATGATGATGATGATGATAATCAGCTGAAAACTGCTAGGGCCAATTACACTGTCCTCTTTTTATTATCAAACCCAATTAATATTTATAATCTTAAATTATTTTTAATTTCTATATTATTTCACATTTTTAATCACTATCTTTCTCCTCTATAGCCTTCCTTTGGAAAATACTTTCCTGTTTCTTCAAGAAGCCTTTTTCTTTGCTGTTTTCTTCTTTTCCTAAATGTTGGTTTCTCTAAGACTTCAAAGTTCATTTCCTAAGTGAGGAAATCATTCAAGAATTAAAAGCAGACACTTATCCTCACCTGATAATTTTATACATATCCACATCCAATAGCTACTCTAATACTTATTGAATGCTTTCTCTGTGTAAGAAAACACACTAAAGTTGAGACTGAATTGGTGAGATAAGCAGATAAGCAGTGTTGTCTTCATGTAGCTTACATCAGTTAATCAGAACATTATATCTACTGAGACCTAGTCATTTCTATTTAGATAACTTTAATCATTCTTTATTGAGTAAAGTTCAGTAAGACTATGTTCTTCTTCTTTTTTTTAAGATTTATTTATCCAAGCATACAGAAATGAGGTACAGCCAGAGGTGCAGGGCCTGGGAGAGGATTCAACAGAAGCAGAATAGGGAGCAGAACAGATGATCCACAAAGTACACTGCTGAGGGGAGCATTGGGCAGGTCAGGAGAGGTCTGCCCTGCCATATGGATCACCTCCTGGTCATGGATCAAACTCACAGAAGTGGGCTGCAGCTTGGCTTAGCTTCTTGGTGCTCCAATCCACAGTACCACCAGGGAGGGCCCCCGAGACTATGTGTTCTTGTTCCCTCCAACTTGGTTCCTCTTGATTAAATGATGCTATTTTGGCATTATATGGCATTAAATATGCAATCTATACCCTTTGTTTTCTCATTCTAGAATTCTCATCCTTATTATCTTTATATAACTAAATACATAACACATTTAGCCTGTTTTTAATCATTACTGAATATAAGACATTTTCAATTATCCTATATTTTTCTCAATAACAATGTATAACTCCTCTTTAGAGAACTTTTTTTTTATTACTGATCTAGAAATAAGTGATATTTGAAAGCCCTCTGTATACCACCATAAATTAGAAACTGTATGCAGATCATTGTGAAATCTGGTTCTTCTCAACCTTGAATGGCTCATCTAGAAGTACAATTGTCACATGGAAACACTCAAAATACTTATATCCATTAAAAAGTGCTATCGAAATTGACTTCTCACTACCACATTTTGACCTATGGTTGCATAACCTCAGAAAAGCAAGATTAAAATGAGGAAATATTTTAGACAAAGACATCAGTATTTTACGTAGACAAAGCAGATTTTACTTGATGACTTGTGGTCTTCAAATATGCACACACTGTATGTTCTACCATGTGGCATCCAGAAGATGAGAGAATTATCAATTTTAAATCAGTGTACACTGATTATTAGAAAAAATAATGTGATGATATGTAATTCACATAGAAAATCATTACAAACTAGATAGATAACTGGCAAGTAGGTAGATTTACTTCTATATAATTAGAGGCACATCATAATATGGTTTCTCAGTCTATATTCTAAAAATATTTTAGTGGAATCATCAAGACTACTTGTTAAAAAGACCAATTCCTTAATTCTACTCCAGTATTTCTGAAAAAAAAAAAAAAAAAAGCCAATGTACTCCAAATGGTCTGAATGTTACTAAATTTCTCACCTGAAATCATTGAACATTAAAAGACAGAGATACTGCACCGGGTACTATATTTAAATTCTTTGACAATTACTTGTGTTATACTTTGTTTTTGTAAGGACATGAGATATTATGTACTATTAGAAGGTATTATGTTCTATTAGAAACAAACAGGAGCAGTTTCAACCCAATGACATACTCTTTGGAATATTTAAAAAAAAGGGGGGGGGATAAAGTCAATGTTTTCCAAAAGCAGTCTTCATGGATCCTGTCAGATCAAATTCTGTCTCCTAATGAGTGATCATTAACGTGCAGAAGTCTTTTTCATCAGTTAAAAAGCCCTTCATGTTACTCAGCTTAATACAACATCAGGCAGTGACATCCAAAAGAGAGGCATTTATGCTAACTCTGTTATCTGGAAAGAAAGATGGGGTTAGTGTAACCCCATCACTGTGCCTTCATAGCATGTCCAATCTCAGATTTTCCCACTGTAACAGAATGTAACTCACACAACATGATCTGAAGAGTAAACACTTGTAATTACAATGCAGTTACATTTCAAAGATGAATTCCCACTTGGAAGATGGGCTATTTTAATACTGATGAAGTGGAGGAGTCCTTCGTCTGCCAATTTCCATTCATGGAAAAATGGGTGAGTTGCCTAAATCACAGACAATCTATTCTTCTTACCTTCTTCAAGGAAAGGATTCCCTCTCTGGTCTCTTTGTCAGTGGAGATGGAGAACACCCCAATGCCATCACCATTAATGATGGAGTAGGTCATGTCGGCATTTGAACCTGTGTCTGCGTCATTTGCCTTGATTTTCCCAACAGCTGAACCAACTTGTGCTGACTCAGGAACATACAGCTGGTAGTGCTCTGAAAAACATGGAATTTAGTGGATGATAATAATGTATCCAATCACAATATTATAAGAAGTACATTTAAAATATTAAGACCATCTAGTCAAATGCACATTATATTAAGCAATGTAGTGAACACTTTCTTAATTATTAGTACATATTTAGTAATTAAACACTAGATTACACAAATGTAAATGTAAAATGGTCCACATTAAATAATTTGTAGATAGCTGGATGTAAAATATTTTGTTAATTCTACATCCATATGAAAACAAAAGTTAGACAAGGAATGTCAAGTTTGCATTCCTATATTGAGCAAAATTGAATTGGTCAAGTGTTAGTACAAAAACCAATTTCTCCCTCCACAAGGAACACATGAAGCTAAAATATAAAGTACAATAATTTAAAGTGAATAGAGAGAAAAGAATGTGGGGGACTCATGGATATAGTCATTATTTTAAACAACAGACTAAAACTTAGTGATATGTACAAGCTATGACAAAGAGTATTGATATATTTATCATGTATCACTAGCCAGGTTCTTGATTCTATAAATCTTATTATCTTATATTAAGGAATACATTTTTTGGCATACTGATAATAAATGTAATTGAAAATAAAAAAAAATAGTTTGCCACAATATTAAATTCCTATAAGGACTATTCAACTATGTTAAATGAATATTAATAAATGTAATGGACATGTTATCAATTTATAATTGATGTTAGAAACATATCTATTAAATACATTTATTGATAATAACAAACCAATAAAACAATATAAATAACAAAAGCCTTTAATTAAATTTGTAATTTTGTAAGTGTTAGCCACTACACACACACACACACACACACACACACACACAAACACACACACACAATTAGGCTGTATAAATATGTGAATGCAGAAAGTCCATAAAAATAATTTTCCTGAGCCATTATTTTGTTAGGTGTGGTGTGATGATAACTTTTGTGTCAATATGTCTAGTAAGCCTATCAAGTATTTTTATATTTTTTCAAGGCGCTATTGTAGATTCTGAATATTGACTCGTATGTCTGTATTTATTCATGAATCAACAAAGTTTTACTCCGGTTCTTTTTCAAAAGCATTGAGACAACCTCAGACATATTTTTTTAGATTTGCAGCATTCACCAAAACATTCATGGTTAAAACCTCTCCTGTCAAACACATGATGTCTTTACTTGAATGCTGTGTTTTTGTTTTTTTTTTTTTTTAAAGATTTTATTTTATTTGTGCATACAGAACTAGGATACAGGCCAGAGATGTGGAGGGTGAGAGAATTCACCAGAGACAGAGTGGAGTGCAGAACAGGCAGATCAACGAAATACACTGCTGAGGGGAGCAGCGGGCGGGTCAGGAGAGGTCTGCCACGCCATGTGGTCACCTCCGGGGCAGGCGGGAATTGAACTCATGAGGAAGCGGCTTTAGATTCTCAGTGCTGTGCTTTAACCCGCTGCGCCACCAGGGAGGGCCGAATGCTGTGTTTTTATTAGGGCCCAAAATATTGCTAGCAACTGTCAATATTGGCATTTCATTGATCTGGGTACCATGTGATTTAAAAATAGGAATCTTTCCTCTTTCAGTCAATTGGAGAAAGAATAGACAGCTGAAGAACATCAATCCAAAAGAGTTTATTTCCCTAAATATTCCAGCTGGAAGTAGAGAAGAAGCTAATTGTCTCTGGTAGTAAGTCTATGAAATGCTGGAAGGTGCCTTGACAATGGTTTCCAAAATTCATATGAATGTACCAGCTATAGTTATTCAGGTCTAATGAATGGAATGCACTAGAAGTATAAAGTGTCATTTCAAGACTAGGCTAGGAAAAAATGGTAGCTTTAGCATGGACACACTAGCATTTACTGTTTTCCTGGGGTAATCCAGCTATTTTGTTCTATTGAAGCCTGACTGAGACATAACAGCAATCATGTTAACAAGCTGGAAACTAAAACCTGCCTGAAGGAAACTTTGGATAAGAGCACAGTCTCTGATGACAGTTACATGGGACCTCAGAAACCTGAAAGCAGGCATCCAGTTAAATCCCATCTAAATGTCTGACTTACATAAATTGTGAGTTCAATGTTTGTTGTTTTAATCTGATAAACTTGGACTGGTTTCAATCCAGCAATTGTGATAATTCTGACTCTTAGTGATATAAACTAACGGATCATTTTTAATTCTTTTAACCTCTGGTGATTGGTGTTTGGACAAATTCAAAACCAAAACAAGACAAAAATACCAACAGACAAGGAAAATGATGATACATTTATTGTGGAGGGTTCTTTTGCTGTGAGTTTTTATAGCAGTAAACGTGTAGCTTATCCAATAAATAAATAATAAATAGATACATATAGGGCCACATTTTGAACATTTTGTTGTGTATGTTCCAAATTTTATATTATAGAGAAAAAAATATGAAATTTACAATTGATAGCCAAGGTTAACCATTTGCCATAATCAAATTTTCAACTCATTCTCCAGGAATCATTATCATTCTCTGCATATTTTTATAATATTACTTTAGATAGCTTTCCACAGATATATATTCAAGTAGTATGTAGTATAACATTTGATATTTAGATTTATACACCTGTGTATGATTTTTTTCACTTTGATTTTTCATATAAAATAATTTTTGAAATATACTACATGTAGTTATCATTCATTAACAACATAATACTTCACTTGATAAATATCCTACAGGTTAGCCTTTCTGGTTTTTCCAATTTAAACGATGTTTAATATATATTGTCTTATGCATTTCCTTATGCACATATTAGAGAGTTTATATGCCATATTCAGAAACCCCCACCACCATATTTTCATGATTCTGTTCACACTTTTTCTAAAACTAATTTCCTGAAAAGTACATCTTAGCTTTTCCACAAACTTACCTTCGGTTCCTACCTTCAAAGTCAGTACTGATCAAAACTTAGGCCAATATTTCTATTCTTTCTAGACAAACACTAGGAAGATGGTTTCTCTCATAAATTATAAGCCAATGTCACAAATTAGTCACAGCTACTGTCGCCTAGTTTACACCTTAACATGCCACATGCCCATGGCCAAAGCAAACTAATTGGCCAACATGGAATTCAAAGAATAAATATCATCTATTTGGAGGAAAAGATGCAGAGACAGGGAGACTATGAGAAACTGTGGGAAAATAGTCAAATCTATGAGAAGCAGCAAGAGGAAGAAGTGCTTAAGGATAAGTCAGTAAAATTCTATTCCCAATAGAATTCTCTTGAAAGTAAGACAAAAGAGAATGGCCATTACATAATAATTGCAATCTGAAAAGTAAACATCTTAAGTTGTTTTCCAGTGAGGTTCTCTGAATAGTGAACTCATTCTTTTGTTATAACACACTTTTATCTCACCCTCATTTTTAATGCCAATTTAGCTGAAGATTTCAAGAGTAATAGCATTTCTTATCAGTTTTGAAGACAGTTTTCTATTGTCATCTGTACTCTATTATTGTTGATGAGATGCTTGGAGTTTATCAAATGGTTTTGTTTTGGAGTTCTAAACTACACCATAACACATCTAAGTGACAACATTTCTCAATGGCACCTGGAACTTCTTATGATTCCTCATCAAAGGATTAACACCTGTTCTTATTCTTAAATAATTTTATTAGTTTGTAGTTTTTGCTACTGCCTTATCATTCTCCTGGCTGTCTTCCCTGGAAACGCTAGTATTATACACTGAAGCTTGGTTTTCCTTTGGTTTAATTTTCATTCCAAATTTTAATTTGTCGTCTTTGGTCTCTCATCGACATTCTGGCTGGTGTCCTCAGCCTTGTCTTCCAGCTTACTAACTATGTATTTGGATGTACCTAGTCTCCAGTCTCCCCTCTTTGTCTGCCTTCTAAATGTTCACGTCTGTGTTGCTGCTTCCAGTGACTGACACGTGGTGTCTTTTCATTTTCCATTTCAAAGTGAGCCTTGGTTTCATGCCAGACACCTAACTCAAATAACATCCCTAATGAATGCCTGTAATTACACACTTCCTCCCTTTTTTGAGAGCTAACAAGATGAGATACCAGCGCCCAATGCTTGCAACCTGCCTTATACTCCCTTTGGGCGTTCACTTCAGCAGCCTGCCAACGTGCCACGTGCTTTGCAGGAACACTCATACTGCTACAACTCTACGGAAATATAAAGTCTACTGGGGGAACACACAATTATATCTGGAGCAGAATACTCACGATTTCCCAAAACTCTTATTATTCTAGTGTCTGACACTTGGGCTTCTCAGTTTTGCCCCGAGGCTCCAGTAAAAAGTAAGCCTGACTTCCACTCTAATCTCTATATTTTTAGAGTTCAGAAGATGGATTGAGGATTGAGGCATCTATACAAATATGCAGTAGTGGATACAGCATGGGGAGAAGGTGACTTTGATGGAAAGGAGATTTTGGGACTCTGCAGCTGGGCCCCATGTACGACTCCTGAGCAAACTCATCTCTACTAAGCCAACTCTTTTCTAAACTAATGAAATCAATATCCAGATTTATTACAGCCTGGCTCTTCTAAATTCCTCTAAGGTAAATTTCCTTTCTAATATTAGCTTCCTGAATGATGTCGAAACAAAATATTGATAACTAAAATCCGAAATTGCTGTTCTTGTAATTAAGAAAGTAGCTTCAGACTTGCTGCTAGGTAAATTGTAGATGACAGTTGAAAGTGAGCAGAGAGAATGTTTTGCCTGAATGAGATATCTGCTTCACAAATGTCTACTAGACAATCGATAGCATTTTTGATGCCTTAAATTATTTTAAGATAGAAATTTCTCTTGTCTGAGAAGGTAAGTATAATAGAGCAATTATGATTTAAATGACTTAAAAGCAATGATGTACCTGACATTGGTAAAATGACAGGTGAGAAGTGTCAAGTTCTCATTCCCATAACAAAGCTGAAAACAAGAAAGAACTGGCTGAACAACCGTTTAGAAACTCAGGAAAACAGAAGTGATTGGCAAGCAAGCAATTGCTTAAAG